CTCACTTGGGGAGTGAATCATCGGACGGAAGATCTTCCTCTCTGTCTCTCCTCTCTGTATATCCGCCTTTCCAATAAGAAAATAATAAAAATAAATCTTTAAAAAAAAAAAACCATACTATAAGCTGGGCCTGGCTCGGTAGCCTAGTGGTTAAAGTCCTCGCCTTCCATGCACCGGAATCCGTATGGGTGCCGGTTCTAATTCTGGTGCCCCACTTCCCATCATGCTCCTTGCTTGTGGCCTGGGAAAGCAGTGGAGGACGGCCCAAAGACTAGGGACCCTGCACCCGCGTGGGAGACCTGGAAGAGGCTCCTGGCTTCGGATTGGCTCAGCAATAGTCATTGCAGCCACTTGGGGAGTGAATCATCAAATGGAAGATCTTTCTGTCTGTATCTCCTCCTTTCTGTTCATCTGACTTTCCAGTAAAATAATAACAACAATAACAATAAATCTTTTAAAAAGCAAACAAACAAAAAAACCTGCAGAAATGTACAAACTGTGCAGGCCGTTGTTGTGGCTTAGAAGGCTGGGTTTCTGCCCGTGCCTTCACCGTCATCCCCTCCATATGAGCACGAGTTCATGTCTCAGAGCTCCACTTCCAGTCCAGCTTCCTGCTCATGGCCTGGGAAAGCATCAGAGGATGGCTGAAGTACCTGGGCCTTTGCTGCCCGTGTGAAAGAACAGGAGAGTTTTTGGCATCTGGCTTTGGGGAGTGAACCAGAGGTTAAAGATTTCTCTCTCTGCCTTCCAAATCAATCTTTACTATTTATGGTTACTGGCATAAGCATGGACATAAACATCGTTAGGATAAAATTGAGAGTCCCAAAATAAACTCAGGTTTTTGGTTTTCCATAAGGGTGCCAAAATAATTTAGTGAATGAAAGAATAGTCTTCTTGGGGTACAGCAAGCTAAGCCTTCATCTGCAGCATTGGAACCCATAAGGGCATCCGTTTGAGTCCTAGTTGCTACACTTCTGATTCAGCTCCCTGCTCATGGCCTGCGAACACAGCAGAGAATGGCTCAAGTCCTGACTAAAAAACACAGAGAAACTTGAATCAGCTTTTTAAAAATTGTCTTTAATAAATGGTGCCCTGACAACTGGAGATGCATATGTAGAAGAATGGGTTTAATCCCCTACCACACACCATCCACAAATACTAGTTCAGAATGTGCCTGGGACTTAAACAGATGGGAAAACTCCTGGGAGAAAGTTAAGACTATCAGTGATGAATAGCTCACTAGAATTGCAGCTAAGATGCTTGGCTCCCTAAGAAACTGGAGAAGGCCAGAGTGGTGGCTGCTGTGTGTGTAGGGGACCTCTCACCCACAGCCTTGTGTTTTGCCAGATACCTTCACTGGTGAGCTGCCTGTTGGCTCGGAGACCTCGCCTCTTGTCCGGTGGAGCCCAGGAATGACCTGAGGGGAGCTGAGCTGTGTCCCTGCCCTACTCCAGGCTCATGTTAGAGATTTGAGGAAAGAAGAGCTGCGCAGCGAGAGACTCCAAGTCTTGGAAGGCACCAGAAAGGACATTTTCAGATCCTGTCTTGTGCAGTTTAGCTGCTTAAGTTAACATGCAGTCATTTTAGTCTTCCTAATAAAGCTGATGTTTTAAAGATGCATTTAGATTTACGGAGAAGGTGAGACAGAGAAATCTTCCATCTTCTGGTTCATTCCTCAGATGGCTGCAACAGCCAGATTTAGGTTTCTGAAGCCAAAAGCCAGGAGCTTTTTCTAAGTCTCCCATGCGGGTGCAGTGGCCCACAGACTTGAGCCATGCTTAGCTGCTTTTCCACGCACATTAAACAGGGAAATGAAATGAATAGTGGAGCAGCCAGAACTTGATCTGGTTTCTCTATGGGATGCCTGGACTGCAAGTGAAGACTTAGTTTATTATGCCACAATATCACTCAAAAGCTGCTTTAAAAATAAAAAGAAAAGAAAAGGAAAAGATGCAGGCATGAATCTTAGTGATTTTGTATTAGGCAGTAGGTAGGTTTTTTTAATTTGTTTTGTTTTGTTTTTTTAAGATTTATATTTATTGAAAAGGCAGATTTATGGAGAAGAGATACAGAAAGATCTTCCATCCATGGTCACTCCCAAAGTGGCCACAGTGGTCATCTGTGGCTGAGCCAAAGCTGCTTCTAGGCCTCCCGTGGGGGAACAGGGGCCCAAGTCTTGTTCTGCCCTCCACTGCTTTTCCATAATCAGAGAGCTGAATTGCAAATGGAGTAGCAGGGTCGTGAACCGGCTCCCATATGGAATGGCGGTGCTTGCAAGTGGAGGATTGGTCAGTTGAGCCATCATACCAGCCCCAGTAGTTAGTAATTTCTTAGATATAACACAAAAAATTAGTGCCTCCCTCACCCCCCCCCCAAAAAAAAAAAACCCTGCTATATTGAACTTAGTCAAAGTTAAACTTTTATGTATCAAAGGATGCTGTGAGAAGACATGGTACAGAAGAGAATGTAAATCATATTTCCGATAGTATCTACAATTTTATATCCAGAACTACTAAGTTTGACAATAAAGCACTGACCTAATTCAGATGGGGCCAAAGGATTTCAGCAGACATTTCTCCCAAGAAATCACACAGATGGCCAGTAACTACACAGAACAATGCTCGGTGTGTGCTAGACGTCAGGGAAATACCAGTCTAGACTACCGTGAAATACCACTTCACACCCACTGCGCTGCCTCCAGCCAGCCACCAGGAAGATGCACTAAACAAGTGCTGGCACGGATGCAGAGCAGTTGTATGAGTGTAAATGGTGCCTACGTTTAGAAAACACTTTGGCAGTTACTCAGAAAGTTAAGGCCCATCAGGTTGATTCCTAGGAACCAACCCAAGAGAACTGAGAAACACACAGAGTTGCACTTGAATGCCTCTAACAGGGTTATTCCTACTAGCTGGAAGACGGAAACAAGCGAAGTACCTGTTGCCTGATGAATAGGTAAATAAACTTATCATCGGATGGATACAGTAGAATCTTATGTAGGCATGAAAGGGATAAAATACAGTCTGGATGAACCTAGAAAGAATGCCTGGTGAAAGAAGCCAGACACACAAAGGGAAGGTGCTGTCTGAGTCCCTTTAATTGAGGTGCCCAAAATGGACAGATCCGTAGACAGAGTTACCTAGGGCTGGAGGAGGGGTGAGAGTGAGCAGTGACTGAGTGTTGATGGGTGCAGGTTTCTTTTGGGGATGGTAGAAATATTCTGGAATTAGAAAGTGGCAGTGGGCCTAGCATGGTACCATAATGGCTGAAGTCCTCACCTTGCACGCACCGGAATCCCATATGGGCACTAGTTCTAATCCCAGCAGCCCTGCTTCCCATCCAGCTCCCTGCTTGTGGCCTGGGAAAGCAGTCGAGAACGGCCCCAAGGCTTGGGACCCTGCACCCGCGTGGGAGACCCAGAAGAGGTTCTGGGCTCCTGGTTTTGGATTGGCTCAGCTCCAGCCATTGCGGCCATTTGGGGAGTGAATCATTGGATGGAAGATCTTCCTTTCTGTCTCTCCTTCTCTATGTATATCTGACTTTCCAATGAGAAATAAAGTAAATCTTAAAGGGAAAAAAAAAAGAAAATGGGCAATGGTTATACAATCTTGGGAATGTGCTAAAGAGACTGAATTGTATAACATAAAAGAATAAATCTTTGGTGATTGAAAAGAGAGGAGGAAAATGTGTAAATACTCTGACAGCTCAAAAGGCAGAGGAAAGAAGATCAGATGATGTTTTACAATGATAAACCTTAATATTTAAGGACTAATAATGTGTCAGGCATTATGTAATTTACATCTAAGTTTGTAATCTTCCCAGCCAACTGAAACCCGGGTGGGAGCTCTTGGTTCCTGGCCAGGCCTGGCTGTGGCAGCCATTTATAGATGGAGGATCTCCTTCTCTCTGTGTGTGTCTCTTTATATGTATGGCTCTTTCAAATAAATAAATAAATCTTTTTAAAAATTGATTGGGGCCAGCTCTGTGATGCCAGCATTCCATTTAGGCACTTGTTCAGGTCTTGGCTGCTCCTCTTAAAGCTCAGTGTTGCTGCACTTGGAAAGCCGTGGAAGATGACCCAGGTGTTGGGGAGTCTGCACCTATGCAGAAAACTCAGAAGAAGCTCCAGGCCTGCGGCTTTGGCCCAGCCAGTTCTGGCTTCTGTGGTAAACCAGCAGATGGAAGAGACCCCTCTCTGTTGTTTTTTTTTTTTTTTAAGATTAATTTAGTTTTTTATTGCAAAGTCAGATACACAGAGAGGAGGAGAGACAGAGAGGAATAGCTTCTGTCCGATGGTTCACTCCCCAAGTGACCACAACGACCGGTGCTGCGCCAATCTGAAGCCAGGAGCCAGGAGCCTCCTCCAGGTTTCCCACGTGGGTGCAAGGGCCCAAGGCTTTGTGCTGTTCTCAACTGCTTTCCCAGGCCACAAGCAAGGAGCTGGATGGGAAGTGGGGCCACCAGGACATGAACCAGCACCCATATGTTATCCTGGAGTGTTCAAGGCAAGGACTTTAGCCTCCAGGCTACCGCACCGGGCCCCCTCTCTGTTTCTGCTTCTTCTCTGTAACTCTGCCTTTCAAATAAAAAAGCAGAAATCTTAAATATATTTATTTTATTTATTTGAAAGGCAAAGAGAGATCCCTTATCTGGTTTACTGCCCAAATGCCTGTGGCAACTGGAGCTGGGCCAAGCTGATGCCACATGCCTGGAACTCTATCTGAATTTGTAAGATGAATGGCAGGAACCCAGCCTCATGAGCTGTCATTTGTTGCCTCCCAGGAAACTATCATGGAAACTGTTAGCCTGGCCACTCTGAGGGTAGTATGCAGCTATCCCAACTGTTGTCCTGACCACTATGCCAAACCTGCCCCCTCCTTAAATTTTTTTTTTAAATTTGTAAATATTTTAACCCATTCCAATTGTAACACAAGCCTTCGTGTGAGCCTTTTATTTCACTGAGCTAACAGCTGTCTGCCCCTTGTTTGTTTCTCTCCTCTCAGATCCATTAATGAGATGAAACGGTTGGAAGAGATGTCCAGTGTATTTCAGAGCTCTGGAGTGGAACGCCACCCTGCGGAACCCAAGTCCCAAACGGGCGGGAAAGAAGATGCGAAAGACAAAGAGGAGCCCTGGGAGATGGTGATGGATAAGAAGCACTTCAAGCTGTGGCGGCGCCCAATCACGGGCACTCACCTCTACCAGTACCGAGGTGGGTCTGGCACTGGGTCTGGCAGGGCTGCCTTTCAGCTGTGTTCCAGCACTGCCCCGGTGCACAGGGCACAATGCCTCCTGCTTCTCTAAACCAGTTCTGTTCTAGTTGCTTCTTCGAAAAGTCACCCCGTTTTCTTTGTTTTTCTTTTCCCAAAAGACAAGCATCTCGGTGTCTTCCTTGCTGTAGATCAGGTTTTATTTTGCTGCTTCTGCGTAGCAGTGGAGTTTCCAGTGCTTTCTGTCTGAGCTCTGCCTGTTTTCTAGAGCTGAAATGCAGTGAAGTGATAAGAATAGGCAGTCACAGGAGTGCAGTGAGCATTCCTTCTTCTTTCTTGTCATTTTAGTTTTCGGGACCTACACAGATGTGACACCCCGGCAGTTCTTCAATGTTCAGGTGAGTGAATTTTTCTCTCCGAATTTGAACCCTGGCAAGCCTGTGCACAAGTTGCTTTCTCCGATTCAGACGATGCAGACTTGGTGTGTCATCTGTCTCTGACCCCTCCTGCACTGTGTGTCCTCTGCTCGCCGCGTTTGCCTTAGTTTCTTTCTTTGTCCCACAAGAATGAGATTACTTCGGGCCCCCTTGTGTAAAGTCAAGCAGGAGAATGGATTTCAATGTTTTATTAATTTGTATTTAAAAAGTTTTTAACGAAACGGGCAGAAAAAGAGAAGCAGCTATCGTCCATGGTTTCACTGCTCAAATGGCTGTCAGAGCTGAGGCAGGAGCCTGGCACCTGACCACCTGAGCCATCGGTGCTGCTCTCGTCCCTGGATCTGCACAGGCAGGAGGCCGGACTGGGAGCCGGGCATCAAAACCAGGCTCTTGGATGCAGGATGTGAACATCTTCCCAGCATCCTGATGGCTATCTCAGACACCTGAGATAGCCTGAACAGCTGTCCTGAACAGTTTGAGTTCATATAAAATAACCGTCTATTCCCACATCCTTCAGTACCTGAAACCAGGCATAACCTCTTAGCGGTAACATTATTGAAATCACTGGCCATTGATGCAGCACTTGTATGAAATGTTTTCTTTTGTATTCCAGTTTTTGTATTCAGTTTCCTTGATAGCATTTTCCTTTTCAGTACAGACCCAATCTGGGTTACGTTCAGTGGTCACATCTTTTTAGCCCCTTTTAACCTGGAGCATTTCCAAAGTGAAGGTATTTAATGAAAATGAAAAGTATCTGTTCAAAGACTGTTTTTGTCTTCGGAATAGTGAGAAATGTTTAAAATAAAAATGAAAACGGGAAGTGAGAACACCAGAGTTGCACAATGTTTGTTTCTTGGAGTGTTCATTTGTTTTGTCAGACTTTCAGCAACTAATGTGTTGTTTGTAGCACCTGTTAGTGATACCCAAGCTTGCTTTCCCCTGAGCACTGAATTTTGTCAGTCTTGAGGTTTTCCCAGTTTAGATGTTGATCTTAATTTGAAATCCCTCAGTTGCGAGTTATTCTAGAAACTTAGACAAGGTAACAACATACTACTTGGTGTTTTTTGTGTGTGAGATGTCTGCTTCCTACTTTCTGTTTAAAATGTCCTGGTTTCCTCACCCTCATATGTTTATACCACTATCAAAGAGTGTTTTCTCCCAGATGTTTTTGTTTCTTTTTCTTACGTGTTTCTTTGGCTTGTCTTTTCTTCCTAAGATTCACTTTCGGTATGTTGATACTGGCCAGTAGGAAGGAATTTTAGAAGAATGACCTGAAGTAACACTTAGGCAAGATCCCTGTTGGCTCCTAAGAACATCCTGGGGCCAGAGGCCCATGCTCTGGAAAGGTCTCTGACATTTCTTAGCACACTGATGCTAGTGTACTCCTCTTTCTGAGCAGCTGGACACAGAATACAGAAAAAAGTGGGATGCCCTGGTGATCAAGCTGGAGGTGATTGAGCGGGACGCCGTCAGTGGCTCCGAGGTGCTGCACTGGGTCACCCATTTTCCTGTGAGTTCTCTCACTTCTGGCTTCACTTCTGCCAGGGCTGTGTGATGCAGAGCCTTCATCCTGCTTCTCTGTTTCTTTAGTATCCGATGTACTCACGGGACTATGTCTACGTTCGGCGCTACAGCGTAGATGAGGAAAACAACGTGATGGTGTTGGTGTCACGGTAAGTGCAACTGTGCGTGGCTCTCTGCGGGTCCCTCACGTTGCTCTTCTTTCTTGTGTCGCTGTCAGTTTGCATGTTCCCAGGACCCTGACGAGTGCCCCCAGGCTTCCCAGCGGCCAGCGCACATACACGCCCACACACACACCCATCAGCTCAGGAAGACAGGCGGGCTGTGTCCAGGAGTGTTGAAGGGATGTGCGCTTTTCAGCTGGGAGAGTTGTTAAAACACTTTCCTCGGGTTCTTTAATGTCGGTAGTTTTAGAAAGAAGTGTTCTCCTGTTTGACACAGAGCCTAGTGAACCATAAATCGCCAGGACCTAAGGATGTTGCATGCTGTTGAGAAGTGAGTGGGTGTAGTTCAGCTCAGAGCCAGCTGGTGGGGCTTTCTCTTCCCTCTGTTGAGTCCAGACACTGACAAACATCTGCTTCCCCCTCCAGCGCTGTGGAGCATCCCAGCGTGCCCGAGTCTCCGGAATTTGTGAGGGTCAGGTCGTACGAATCCCAGATGGTTATCCGTCCCCACAAGTCATTTGATGAGGTGAGTTTTACATCATCCAAGAGACAGTGTACCTCTTAGCTTTAAGATTATCTCCAGAGATGTCTTGTACCACCAACTGGGGAGGGAGTGTGGTATTGTAGGGCAGAGGTTCTCAAACTTTTGTTTCAGAAACAGCTGGAACTTGAAGTTACATTGCTGGGTCCTAACCTCAGAGTTTTTGGTTTAATAGATTTTAGATGTGGCTTTTCATTTATAGTTGTGAGAAATTCTCAGGTGAGACTAATGGTGCTAGATTGGGAGCCTTTTAGGAAACCCCTGCTCAGGGGGCTGTATCAGGAATACCCCTAACAACAAAGAAATGATAGGCCCTTGGGTCCCTTTGATCTTAGAGGTAGATATTGGGAGATACTAGCCACCCTGGGTGTCCTTTTGTCACCACTTCACCATGGTGGGCAGAGCACCAGATAACTTGGATTTGTGCTTCTTCTCTGTATGTACTATGGGAGGGTTGGAATGCTCTCTGAATTCTTAAATAGTTTGTGACCTTTCTTTGAAAGGAATATTTCATTACACTTAGTGAAAAATTTTTTTAAAGATTTATTCAATTTTTTTTTTTTTGGAACAGCAGATTTACAGAGAAACTGAGAGACAGAAAGATCTTTTGTCCATTGCTTCTTTCCTCAAGTGGCCACATTGGCCGGAGCTGAGCTAGTCTGAAAGCAGGGGCCAGGAGCTTCTTCTCAGTCTCCCACATGGGCCTCTCTTACGGTACAGGCAGGGTCTCAAGGCCATCCTCCACTGCCTTCTCATGCCATAGGCATGGAGGGGAGCTGGATGGGAAATGGAGCAGCTGGGACTCTCACCAGCACCCATATGGGATGCTGTTGCTGTGAGTGGCAGCTTTACCCACTCCACCACAGCCCCAGCCCCAGTGCAATATTTTAATTTAGGAAATTATGATCAGTTGAAAAAAAAATTGAAAAGAAACCATGTGTGAAACTTTTTAATACACACTTTGAAGTTTTTTAAAAACCTTTTTTTAAAATAAAAGATTTATTTATTTGAAAATCAGAGTGACAGATGTTCCATCCAGTGGTCCTGGTGCAATGGCTCAATGGCCAAATCTTCACCTTGCCCATATGGGTGCCAGTTCGTGTCCTGGATGCTCTACTTCCTATCCAGCTTCCTGTTTGTGGCCTGGAAAAGCAGTTGAGGACGGCCCAAAGCCTTGGGACCCTGCACACATGTGGGAGACCCGTAGGAAGTTCCTGGCTCCTGGCTTCGGATCGGCTCAGCTCTGGCCATTGCGGCTGCTTGGAGAGTGAATCAGCGGGTGGACGGTCTTTCTCCCTGTCTCTCCTTCTCTTCATAAATCTGATCTGCCTTTCTAATAAAAATCAATAAATATTTAAAAGAAAAATAATATATATGTATATTTATAAGCTCTTTGTTTTAGAAGATGGAAGTCAGCCTGCTGTCAAGTTAACTTTAGGAAGGAGACACTGAGAACAGTGTGGGAGGGAGACAGGCCCAGCTTTATTCCCTTATGTCGCTTTTGAAATTTGGAACACGTCTGTGTGTTAACATTTGAAAGAATGTGGTTTGACTTCCGGCATTGTTGCCTTTAGAAACCGTGACCCTGTAACAAGTAAAGCCTAGTTTAGTACTTAGCAGAATATATTGCATTTAGAAGCCACTCAGGATATATTTCTTCTAGATTGGGTTTGGAGAATGAAAAGGATTACCGGTGTAATTAGTATTCTTTTATGTATTTATGGCAAGTTCTTATGAAAAAGGTGGGATTTGCACTGGTCTTGTGGAGTAATGGGTTAAGCTATTATTGCCTGTGAGGCTGGCTACCTTGTGGACTCTGATTTGAGTCCTGACTGCCACTTCTGATCCAGCTCCCTGCTGGTGCACCTGGGAAGGCTGCAAAAGCTAGACTAAGTCCTCGAGCCTCTCTGCTGTTGACAGACCAGGTGGAAGCTCCTTGCCTCAGCCTGGACCAGCCGTGGCTGTGGCGGCTGTTTGGAGAGTGACATAGCAGATGGAAGTTCTGTCTCTGCGTGTCTTTCTCTGTAACTCTGCCTTCCAAATTTAAAAAAAAAAAAAAAAAACACTTGAGTTAATTCCTGCAGAAATGCAGACTGGTCACAGGATGTGGTTAAGAACTTACATTTTCTAACATTAGTCACTCAATACCACGTCAATTAACTCCACAATGTTGTAAACTGTTGTTGATGTTATGTTATGGCTTTTAATTGGTCGGGACGATATTCTGCCAGCTCTGCTTTTAGACCAGAGATGGTCTCCCCAAGAAACTGTTGAATTTACCTTGACACTAAGATGCTGGACTCTGTGCGTGGTACATGCTTGCAATGAAAGAAGCATGACTGGATTTGAACTGTACTACTGCAATAAGGTGGAGTAATCCACCATGGGGGGAGGGTACGGGGAGGGTTTGGGGGAACCGCAGAGCCTGTGAAACAATGTCATAAAATGAAATGTAATAAAAAAAGGAAAAAGAAATGCAGACTGGATACAGAGGGGAAGATAGGAAGGGCCCTGGGCTTTGGACATACAGTCTAAGGAGAGACAAAGACTGGAATAAGCCACGGATGTGTCACCAAACTCAGGTGCTTGGAGAGAAAGGGTTTATCTCAGAAAGTGATTTCTGACAACATACTCCAATATGATAATCATACCTAGAATAACTGACCAGAGTCCCAACTGACAGGGCTCTAGTCAATATTCAGATTTTCCTGATTATGTACAAAGGATTTTTTGTAGTTGGTTTCTGTGAAACAGGACCCAAATAAGATCAAGGTATTGAAAGATCTGCTATCTACTGGTTCCCTCCCCAATTGGCTGCCGTGGCTAGGGCCAGGTTGAAGCTAGGAGCTTCTTCCGGGTGTCCCTTGTGGATTCAGGAACCTAGGCACTTTGGTCATCCTCCACTGCTTTTCCAAGTGTTCAGTTAAACACCCCCTTCCTTTTTTTTTTTTTTTTGTTCTGGATCTTGCTGCTAATCTTCCCCTAGCGTCATTTAACATAGTCATCTGTCTTCTCCATGTCTGGAGGTCAGTAGTTAGCTCTGAAGGTTTGAGCAGGTTCAGGTTGTTTTGGGAAAGACCACTTTGTTGTGAAGGAAATAATGTCTGAATGTCCCTTTCCTTGTGAGCTTAGATGCTGTTGATGATTATTGCTTGAATTCATTCTTTTGTTGAGGACTAAAAAAATGCTTACTTTATAATTAATAATAATAATTCCATCCTTCTTCTTTCATTAGCTGAAATACTCTAGACAAATTTCCTCTTCAACTGTTTGGTTTCCTATAATTCATATAGGAAAGGGAAATTAAGATAAATGCTTTGGACCTGGCACAGTAGCCTAGTGGCTAAATCCTTGCCTTGCAACTGCCAGGATCCCATATGGGTGCTGGTTCAAGTCCTAACTGCCCCACTTCCTATCCATCTCCCTACTTGAGGCCTGGGAAAGCAGTCGAGGATGGACCAAAGTCTTGGGACCCATATGGGCACTGGTTCATGTCCTGGCTACTCCACTTCCCACCAGTTCCCTACTTGTGGCTTGGGAAAGCAGTGGTAGAGGACAACCCAAAGCCTTGGGACCTTGCACCTGCCTGGGAGACCTGGAAGAGGCTCCTGGCTTTGGGTCAGCTCAGCTCTGAGCTTTGTGGACATTTGTTGAGGGAACCAGCAGATAGAAGATCTCTCTTTTCTCTCTGTAAGATTAAGGGAAAAAAAATAATTTATTTATTTAAAAGACGAAGTTACAGAGAGATGAACAGACAGAGAAATCTTTTATTCAATGGTTCATTCCCCAAACGGATGCGACAGCCAGGGCTGAGCCAGGCCAAAGCCAGGAGCTTCATCTGGGTCTCCTGTGTCGGTTCCAGGTCCATCCTCTGCTGTTTTCCCAGGTACATTGACAGGGAGGTGGATCTGAAGTGGAGAAGCTTGGACTGGAACTGGCACCCCGTGTGGGATTGCTGTGCCACAGTGCTGACCCCAAGATTAAGAACTTAAAATAGCAAATAGTGGGGATATGTATGGGGGGATTTTCAAGGCTGCCCCCATGTTTGAAGAGCTGCTGGAAGCACTCTCAGAACTCAGCATTAATTGTGTTTTTCAGATGAGATTTGTGACAGTAACATAGTAAGGCTACACAGCTGGATCAGAGGAAGAGCATCGGGGAGTCCATGGGAGGCTTTCACACTTGTCAGGAAAATGCAGCAACTGTGTACCCAGTTTCTACCTGGGATAGCTCTTGGGGACACAGCACCCCAGGTTTTTGTTTGAAGCTGGTGATGTAGCACTGTCTGCTTCGCACATGCTAAGTTTCAGGCCTCGGAGGGAAGGTCTGTACTTAGTACAAACCCTGCTCTTGGCACATTCTGAGCACAGAGAGCTCCCTTATCAGTCACCTGTTGCTTGACGCACTGTGGGAGCTGAGTGGGCGGAAGCTCAGCCTTGTGAGCAGGACTTCCCTGAGCAGCAGTCTCTCAGGATTTCAGTGGCCACTTTTCCCGAGCAGGACAAATGGCACTCCCCGCTTCAGAGCTGGGTCGTGGTTCACTGTAGTACTGGAAATGGAAGTGATGGGTACAACGGGGCTAGCTTCATGTCTGCTGTTTTTCTTTTCCAGAATGGCTTTGACTACATGCTGACATACAGTGACAATCCCCAGACCGTGTTCCCTCGCTACTGTGTTAGCTGGATGGTCTCCAGTGGTGAGTTAGCGACGCACCTGCGGGGCCTGGAGCCTGGACGCACATTTTGTTCTCCCACTCAATGGCAGCATGAGGATTTTAGTACTTGTCTTGCTGGCCTCCTAATAGAAAACTGATCATCCCTCCCAGTGAAGATGCCAAAGCCTCTGGCTGGGATTTTGTTTTTGTTTTATAAGATTTATTTACTTTAAGAATTACAGAAAGAGGGGTCTTCTGTCTACTGATTTACTCCCCAAATGGTTGCAATAGCCAGGGCTGGACTGATCTGAAACCAGGGAGCCAAAAAAGAAAAAAGAGAGATCTTCCATCCATTGATTTACTACTCAGAAGGCCACAGTAGCCAACACTGGGCCAGCCTGAAGCTAGGAGCTTCCTCCTGGTTGCCAACATCATGAGCAGAGGCCCAGACATTTGAGCCATCTTTCATTACTTTTCCCTGGCCATAAACCGGGAGCTGGATCAGAAATGGAGCACCCAAGGTGTGAACCAGTATCCATATGAGCCACAACACTGACCCTCTCTGAGGAGTTTTAAAAATATTTGCTTTGGGGTCTGGCAGGCTAAGCTCTGCTTTATAGCACTGGCATCCTGTGTGGGAGCTGTTTCATGTCCTGGGTGCTCAGCTTCTGATGCAGGTCCTGGAACCCACATCACGAAACCAGAAAATGCTCCTGTCTTCAGAATGGCCCTTGTGCCCATTTGAGGAGTGAACCAGTGAATAGAAAATCTTTCTTGTCCTCTCTTGAACTCTGCCTTTCAAATAAAAATAAATAAATCTAAAAAAAAATTGTCTTGATGCTTTATATACAGGCTATGTACACTGATGTATTGAAATTCTGTGAAACTGTTGGATGCCATAAGATCTAGCACAGAGAAGGTGGTGATTCTGTAGGGCAGGCACCTGTCTTAACAGCAGCTGCGTGTCACAGTTGCACCTACACCTTCTCCTTCCAGTTTCTTGTCACCAAAAGCATCCTTACAGAATTTCATTTCTTCTAGTTCTCTATAAGGCAATTTCTTTCTTTTTTTTTAAGATTAATTTTATTTATATGAAAGGCAGAGTTAGAGGGGAACAGACAGCAAAAGAGGTCATCCATGTGCTGGTTCACTCATCAAATGGTTGCAATGGCCAGGACTACGCCAGGCTGAGAAGCCAGAAGCTTCTCACGGGTCTGCAAGTGCAGGGGCCCAAGCGCTTGGGCCATCTTGTGATGTTTTCTTAAGAGGGAATTGGATTGGAAGTGGAGCAGCTGGGACTTGAACTAGCATCTATTTGGAATGCTGGTGTCATGGGCGTTGTCTTTACCCTTTACCCTTCTGCCTATAGGGACCAGCATTGTAGCTGGTCCCTATAAGCAGAATCTTTTTTTTTTTTTCTAAAGATTTATTTATTTATTGGAAAGTCAGATATACAGAGAGGAGGAGAGACAGAGAGGAAGATCTTCCATCCGATGATTCACTCCCCAAGTGAGCGCAACGGGCCGATACTATGCCGATCCGAAGCCAGGAGCCTCTTCTGGGTCTCCCGCTCGGGTGCAGGGTCCCAAAGCTTTGGGCCGTCCTCGACTGCTTTCCCGGGCCACAGGCAGGGAGCTGGAAGGGAAGCGGGGCTGCCGGGATTAGAACCGGCGCCCATATGGGATCCCGGGCGTGCAAGGCGAGGACCTTTAACCACTTGCACCACCGCGCCGGGCCCCAGGCCCCAGAATCTTTAAAACAAACAAACAAACAGACAAACAAAAAACCAGCAGCTATTTCAACAATGCCAGCAATAGGCCATTTTTATCACCTGAATTAGCCTTTTAGGCCCCAGAGTGATCCAGATATTAACCCTCTTTCAAAGGATTGGGGGTTATGTTTATTTTCAGTTTGTACCTAGGGAATACATTCTGGAACATAGCTATCTCTCAGAGTTGTTATTCAGACTGTGGTGTCTGTAAGAAAAGCTGGCTCTCTGCCACCCAAACCATAAGGCCTTCTGACGGTTTGTGCATCAGCTTAACCACATCCCCCTGTCTCCTGACAGGCATGCCTGATTTCCTGGAGAAGCTGCACATGGCCACGCTGAAAGCCAAGAACATGGAGATCAAAGTGAAGGACTACATCTCCACTAAACCCCTGGAGATGAGCAGTGAGGCCAAGGCCACGGCCCAGTCCCCCGAGCGGAAGAACGAGGGTAGCTGTGGCCCCGCTCGGATCGAGTACGCCTGAAGGCCTGGAGCTGAGGAAGACAGGCGCGTCCATCCCCGTGTCAGTCCTCAGTCACTCTGCTACGGAATGGGGACAAGCCACTGCTGTCAGAAGGCATCTGCCATCACCACCAAGGAGGGAGAACTTCATAACTGGTCTGATTTCACTCGGAGCCCTTGCTGCCCTGTATCTAAACAGATACGAGAAGGCCGCGCCGGGCGGGCACTGTCACATGCTCAGGCTAACCGTGTGCGAAGTCAGTATTCACTGGGTTAATCTGGAAGAGACTTTGCACCCCAGGCCAGAGGGGGCGCCTCGCGGCTGTACCCTCTGAGGAGTCGCTCCACTGACATTCCGAGGCCCACCCTCAGGTGTGCCGAGCTTGGGTGGCCCTGGGAAGGGTCCCTGGCAGAGAGGGTTGCCTGGGGTGCTCTTGGTAACAGTCTGCGTGTAAATGAGTGTGAACATCACTTGGCCATTGTTAAGTGCCTTGTCCTCACCTCGCTTCTGTTTTGGGGACATGAAGTTTGTACAAAGAAATTCCTTTCCTGCCTGCAGAATTCTACCCCGCTGGCTCACCTTGGCCGGAGTGGTCTCCCTGGGGTCGGCAGGCCCGCCTGGGTCTGTGGCCATCGTCTTGTGGACAGTCGCCTCCTCCCACCTGGCCGCCCACCTGCCAGGAGCACTGGAGCTGAACCCGAGGGGACAGGAACTTTCTGTCCCATTGCTGTTTTGATGGTGTCAGTGGAGGTTGTTGGAACACATTGAGATTTAAATTTTTTATAACTTTATGTCAAAAATAAAGAGGGAGCCGAGCAGAATTTCTCTGTAGTCCCATCATATTAGGAAACACACTTTGAATACAGACATCATTTTCCGCACTTCAGGTTTGGCTCGTCCTCCTTGGCCGAGGAACGGGAGGCTGGGCCACCCCTCTAAGTTCTCAGAACCATGGACAGGCTGTGTGAACAAACAGACATAAGCTTGCCCCTCATCCTAACAGAGGGAATGTGGTTTAAATGACCCTCTTGTCCTAAAAACGGTTTTCCTTGTCTCTTTCCCGCTGAAATGTTAAAAAGCTCGTGGTCAGAGTTTATCAGTGGGCCAAGTCGGTTTTGCAGTGTTCGTAGTGTAGCCTGTTGGAGAATAGGGATCAAGTTTTATGAATTTGAGTCTCCCCTCCTCCCCGCTTTCCCTGGAGTTTAGATGACCAGATTTTCCCTTTTTTTTTTTTTTTTTAATTTTTTTGTTTCCTGGTTGCTTTTGGGGTGGTAAAGGATCTAAGCCTGAGCTTAACTAAAACCCCACCTTGACCTTCCTGTCACCTGTTCAGTTTTGTGCCAAGGGAGTTTAACTGCCCCTGAGCTTCATGTCTCCTCTGAGTCACTGGCAGAACGGAGAGATGGCATCCAGCTGGTCCGGCTGCTTTGCATTCATCATTTTTCCATTTGTCCCAGGACCTGAACTACTGCCAGGGCAAGGAGTCCCTGTGCTGTGTCTGAACTTGGCGCCTGTGGCTGTCGATGTGTGTGTGCGCGAGTGTGTGTCCAGGTGCTGAGGAATTGTGGTGGCTCTGTGTTTTGACTTAAGGCAATTTGACTGCACTGGTGGGGGAGGGGTCTAACTGTACAGTTCTTTTCACCACTGTAATTGCACTCCTAACATTTTTATCAAATGTGTGAATAAATATATAAAAATATTGGTACAAAAGAGTGTTTTTGGAGAAATGGTAGTGAGGTGATGTTATTCATGAGTTAGTTTCTTCCTAATTAGGGCGTGGGAAAGCAGAGTTTGTCTCCTGAGGGTCAGCAGGGGGCAGTAGTGGGATTGTTCCGCTTTGGGTTGGGGCTGAAGGACAGCCAACCTCCTGGGCTAGTGGGAGCGCTTTCCAGGTGACCACTCTAAAAGGCAGAGTTACAGAGTCCTCCCGTGTCCTGCTTCACTACTCAAATGGCCACAACGGCCAGGAGTGGGCCAGGCCAGAGCCAGGAGCTTAGGGGTCTCCCTGGCGTGCACAGGGATTCAGTGGCTTGGGCTATCCTCGGCTGTTTTCCCAAGTGCTTTAACAAGGAGTTGGATCAAGAGTGGAGGAACTGGGACTTGGTACTGATACCCAGACGAGATGCTGCTGTCACAGGTGGTGGCTTAACCCCACTGCATCTCAGCAGCCATGTAGCTCTTCCTGCGTCTCCAGTCCCAGGCCTGCCCTGCGCACCCCTCCCTACCCCCTTTTCCTCTTCAGCATGCTTAGGTTTTCTTTCTTGCTCTCAATTTGTCCTATCTCTGTTCCCTTTTTCACTGCACAGGGTGGTGGGTGTGGGAGCTGGGTGGGCGGCCTAGCGGACTTGGGCAAGGCAAGCTGCAGGTGTTTTTTTGAGGCAAAGCGCTTACTTGTCTATTTCTTAACCATCTGGCCTACGGGAAACTGCTCGCATTTTTATGTGTCATAGAGTTTGAATACCGGGCGCATGCCCCATGTTCTCCCCAAGCCCTGGCTGTGGTTTTTGTGTGGTGCAGTAATGTGGGAACACGTGTCCCAGCCGTGCTGATGGTGCCATGAATGGCTGCACTGCACTGCAGAGAGGCTGTGCTGCCAGAGTGGGCCTAGCCGTCACATGATTCAGTGTGCTGGCCAAGGGTGAGTGTTACTTTGGGGTTTTTGTTTGGGAAAGTTACCTAGGCGTCAAAAGACTGAATAACCTAAAGAGCTGCCGCCTCGCTTCTCGGGCTGTGCAGGTGGGTGACGCCTTCGTGCGTGCTTTCTCTTTCTAGATCACACTTTCTCAAAGGAAGTGACAAACATCACTATGCCTCGGGTCTCCTAAACACTGGAGCATACTAAAGATTTTCAGCCCGGTGCGATAGCCTAATGGCTAAATCTTTGCCTTGCATGTGCCGGGATTTCATATGGGCACTGGTTTGTGTCCCAGCAGCCCCACTTCTCATCCAGCTCCCTACTTGTGGCCTGTGAAAGCAGTCGAGGACAGCCCAAAGCCTTGAACACTGCATTGATATGGGACAGATCAGCTGGTTCGCATCCCACAGGAAGTGGAGCAGCCAGGACCCAAAGCTGCTCCATGTTCTCCCCAAAGGGTCGCCGGCATCACGGTTAGTGGCTTAAGCCATGACACCACAGCAGCTCCTGAGCACTCTTACCACTGCTGCTCTGTGTGGCCACAGTGCCGCTTGTCCACAAGATAAATGACGCTGTTACAATGCCTGGTACTGCAGTGCACATTCAGGTTCTTCAGCTGCCTCACAAATGACTTCCATATCATCTCCTTCAATCCAGGATCCAGTAGTTACAGGTTGTATTTGTCTTTGCCTGTTTTTCATACTTTTGCTTATTTTTTTTCAAGATTTATCTGTTTATTGGAAAGTCAGATATACAGAGAGGAGGAGAGACAGAGAGGAAGATCTTCCGTCCAATGATTCATTCCCCAAGTGAGCGCAACAGCCGGTGCCGCGCTGATCCGAAGCTGGGGACCAGGAACCTCTTCTGGGTCTCCCACGCAGGTGCAGGGTCCCAAAGCCTTGGGCCATTCTCAGCTGCTTTCCCAGGCCACAAGCAGGGAGCTGGATGGGAAGTGGGGCTGCCGGGATTAGAACCGGTGCCCATATGGGATCCCAGGGTGTTCAAGGCGAGGACTTTAGCCACTAGGCCACAGCACCGGGCCCATCTTTCACTTATTTTTGATTGCATGATTCTTTGACATTTTTATGGGATACAGAGCAGTATTTCAACACATGTGTACAGCAGAGACTGATCGGATTATTGGTGTTTTCAATTCCTTTTCATGGAAATCTAGGAGCTCTTGTCAGTTCTTCATAAAGTTAACAAATCATGGTGAGCTGTGGAGCCCTCTTTATGTGTTTCTTATTATGAGAGCTGTCATCTGTTTTATCGCCTGGAATGTTGGGACCACAATCCAGGTTTCCCACAACAGCGACCTAAGCATTCAAATCATCCCTGCTGCTTCCCAGGGCCACGTCTGCAGAAAACAAGAGTTGGGACGAGGTAACCAGAATGATATTAAGCACCAGGCCAGCCGCCTGCCTGTTCTAAAACAGAGGCCTCTACCTTGTCTTGTCCTCCACCTGTGTGTCCTACAGTAGAATGTGGTCCAATATTTGTCAAATTGGACTGTCCCTGGGAACCTGGCAAATTCCCAGACTTGGCCCCATGTTGGGCATGGAAGCTTTTCTGAAAAAAAAAAAGGCCATTTTTATTATTCAGAAGAGATCTTCCATCTGCTGGTTCACTCCTCAAATGTCTAAAACACGCCGATTGGACCAAGTTAAATTCAGGAGCCAGGAACTCTTACCTGGTAAGACTCCCACATGAATGGCAGAGACCTGGCATTTGAGTGTTCAAGGCGAGGACTTAAGCTGCTAGGCCACGCCGCCGGGCCTGAGCAGAGACAACTTTAACAGGCACTCTGATTAATCAGAGATGGGATATGGACATTCCACATGGCAGCTTCACCAGCCATACCACAGCATCCACTCCCGTTGGAATGTTTGGAGGATGAGCCACAACACATGGTAGGAAGTGTTCAGTGTAGAATGACTTAGTGGGGGCAGAACGGTCTCAGGCATGCAGACTGCTGAAATCACCGATGCTTGATGCCGGACACGAGGTTAGCCTGTGATGGCAGCCATTAGTACCTGAGCAAGGTCTGAGCCTTTTGCTTTCCTCCCTGAGTCCTGCTGTAGAAGTGAGAAATTGGCCTGCCCAAGATCACATGGGAAGTGACAACAGGGTCAGCCTTGGGCAGTGCTGGCATCTCATGGGCCCTGGTTAGAGTCCAGTGCTGCTCCACTTCCAATAGAGTACCCTGCTGGTGCTCTGAGAAGACAGAAGGTGGCCCACGGGCTTGGGTCATTGCACCTTATGCAGGGGCCCTGGATAAAGCTGCTGATGTTGGAAATGAAGACCCGAGGAAGCAGAGCTCTTCTCTGGCCCTGCCACCATGCTTTCCATTCCCACTGTGCAATGATTTCGGGAAGATTGTTAACAATTGTAATGTGCATGCAGGCAAACACACCTGGCTGCCCTAAAAGAACAGCTTCAACGAATAACCAGCCACTGTCAGACAGTCCCAGAAACAGAGCGACTTAAACGACAGGAGGGTATTGTCTCAGTGAGGTTGCCAGGCTGAGATCAGAGTGGACACAGGGTAGCATCCAGGCCCCGCAGTGGCTGATGGGATTTTCCACTCCCGCCTTGTAGACATGCCACCTTGATCTGCGCCTCCCTGTTCCCCATGTGTCCCTTGCTCATATCCCGTCCCCCACCGGTTTTAGCTATTTAAGTGGTAACATTGGCCTAGGGCCCACCTGTTAAATAACCAGATCTGCAAATGAATGAGTCCCCAGATAAGGCCACAGTCTGTGACGCGGGGGATTAGGATGTCTACATGGGGATTCTGTACGATGAAATTCAACCCATTGCGAGGGGGAGGTCTGCAGAGAACTGATTTCAAGAAGTGACTTTGCAGATTGCTGGACCTGCAGTTCCAGTATTGACCAGCAGAGGGCGGTGCTGTGCAGCCCGCTCCCAGGGTAGCACTGCGGGCTGGAAGGGTTTCACAGCTCAGAAGCTGACAGGTCAGTCATCCCCTCCAGGCCGTGATTTGCATCAAGTCCTATGAATAAATGAGAGGAAGTGGGTCAGACAACCACAGCCTGTGTGGGTGAATATAGGTGCGTGGTAGGAAGAGGGGTTTGTCCCTTGGGGCAGCTGGGAGACTCACAGCCTGGGGCTGGGTGACCAGGGCTGTATTCCCCAAGAAGAGAAAAAGACCCAGGCAATCGCTTTCATGTCCTTCATCTTCACTTCCTGTCTGCTTCCAGTTTTCAGGCTGGGAAATTGGATCAGCTACCCCACATACAGCCAAGGATGGGCTGGCCAAATGGTTGGCCCTGTGGTCCCTGTGCCCCCGTGAGAGCTCATGCTGGGTCACCATGGGCAGTGCCTCGGGGAGAAGGCATGGTGATGTGATCATCTGGGAGTTCCCGCCCGCCCGCTGTGTGCTCGCTGACTTCCAACAGAGCTTGGAGCAGTGAGTGAGGGAGACAGCACTGAACGGGACAGAATTAGCTCGACCCCGGGGCCCTGCACGGAGCCTTGGGCCTGTGAACCCAGGCTCGAGCCTACCAACTTCAAGGGTGGTTCTGCTTGCCAGACCCACACACCGATGTGTGGAAAATAGAGTTTAAAAAGCAGATTCGGGCCCGGCGCAGTGGCGCAAGCGGTTAAGGTCCTCGCCTTGCACGCCCGGGATCCCATATGGGCACCGGTTCTATCCCGGCAGCCCCGCTTCCCTTCCAGCTCCCTGCCTGTGGCCTGGGAAAGCAGTCGAGGACGGCCCAAAAGCCTTGGGAACCTGCACCCGCGTGGGAGACCCGGAAGAGGCTCCTGGTTTCGGATCGGCATAGTATCGGCCGTTGCGGTCACTTAGGGAGTGAATCATTGGATGGAAGATCTTCCTCTCTGTCTCTCCTCTCTGTATATCCGCCTTTCCAATAAAAAAATAATAAAAATAAATCTTTAAAAAAAAAAAAGCAGATTCGTCTGGGTGCCGAGAGCTTTTGAGATCCATGATGTGAGATGTCCTCCCTCCCTCCCTCCCTTCCTCCCTTCTTCTCTCTTTCTTTCTTAGAAGAAGAACAAACATAGGGTCTGGCGCTGTGGCATAGCAGGTAAA